TTTCTTCTATCCCGTGGTTGGGGCAACCGTGGGGGCACCACTGCATCTGAAAACCAGCTCACGCCATCTATTTTGTCCTCTGCTTTCCTCAGATTATCACCCTTTGTCTTTCCTGTCCACTCTGTAATGTTGTCCTCCCATCTCCTTCTCCGCCTTCTTCTCTGTCTCTTTCCTTGTACGGTTCCTTGCAGAATTGTTTTGGCAAGTCCTGTGGATCTTGTGACATGCCCATACCATTTTAATTTTCATCTCTTCACTGTGGTCAGTAGATCTTCATGCTGCCCCAGCTTGCCAGAGACCAAAAGCTCTTACTCCCCACGATGCCCTCCATGGTACAAGAGGAAGGATAAAGTAAAGTTAGCACAAAGGACAGTTCTATCCTCATGTAGGATAGTCTATTTTACAGAGTATGCTGTTCTGTTTTTCTGCTGGGATGCTGTATGCCACTCGGTCAAGTTGGCCGTGGCAGGCAGCGCAGCATCAAATGAGCCCACGTCTTAAAAGATCTAAAAAGTGTTGATGTTGACCTAATACATTTATAATTAAGGCTGCAATCAAGGAGGTTATTCTATAAGGTCCTTGACTACTCTTTTCTGTTGTGCGTACTTAGAGAATACTCAATTCAGAGCTCAATGACACTATCGAATGAGATAAAAGCTTGTTTCACTTCTTCACTACTTTTTTATCCTCTGTTGTTGGGCGTCGAGGGCAGATACAGTTTTCAATGGTAGACCAACTCTGCAGCTCTTTCAGTTGAGATGTAGTTTCCCAGGCTTCCCTTGACTCTCCCAATCCATCGGTGGCCTAGTGGTTAGGCTACCGGACTCGTAATCGTGAGGTTGCGTGTTCGGGGGTTCGAGCCGCGGGCCCGACGTTGTGTCATTGGGAAAGACATTTTACACGAATTTTCCTCACTTCACCCACGTGGAAATGGGTACCCGGCCATAGACAGCGAAAGATCTTTCAGTATGTTAGTGTTTTAGCGCCTATAAATGGCTGCTTGCACTGTATGCTTCCCAGGAAATTGAGGTTGTTTCTGAATGCTCTCAGGTCTAGTATGGTATAGTATAGGGTTTTACGGTTGTTGGGGTAATAGTATAGATTGTGAAGCGCATAGAGCTTGCTGTTGAGTGGGGATTTGCGCTATACAAATGCTATATTATCTTTTTCGTGGCCTACCTTTTCTTTAGTAGCCTTAGTACGTGGGTGTTTTAGGCTTTCGAGGCTGGCTGGCTTGGTGACATTCGTAACTTGCGGCCAAACCATTACACTGGGAGATTCAAAGAGAATACGCCAAAATCAGGACGCGATATTTCAAAAAACGAAAAACAAAAGAAAATTCTTGTTTGGACTCATGTGTTATATATACCTTCAAGTTTTTATTTCATGTTTTAAAATTTAGTGCTCAATGTGGCCACCACTGGTAGCACGGACAAGATCAAGCCTATATGAGAATTCCTCCCGAACGCGCCTCAGGATGTCTCGGTCCGTCGTGTTGATTGTAGGACCTAGCTGTTATTCGATCTTTCATGCCATCGATATTTCCTGACTGAAGTGGTGGAACCAAAGAGGTTTGTAAGATCCTTGGGTGAAACATAAAATTTTTCTTTAACATACCCCCATGCATACCCCCCCCCCCCCCCCCCCCCCAAGAACTGGCTATTCACTTTATTGCAGGCAGGTTTGAAAGTCTTCATTTTTCAGCAAAATGGAGCACCGCCCCATTGGCGTCTCGGGGTTCGAGCTTATTTGACTTTAATGAAAATTTGCCTCAGCGGTGGATTGGTAGGAGAGGTGCTGAAGACCTCGCTCTTTGCGCTTGGCCTGCCAAACCCCTGGACCTCACTGTGTGTGACTTTTTTCTTGTGGGGGTATGTTAGAGACAAAGTTTATGTTCTACCTCCTCCAAATAATATCTTTACTTTACTTTACTTTTATCCGCCGCTTATACCCTTTTTGGTGTCGCGGGAAGAAAGAGACGTCTCTCTGTTGCTACCCGAGATCTTGGGTCAGGGGGATGTCGGGGGTGGTTAATGTTTCCCTTACTCAATCTATCCAGGTCTTTCTCGGTCGCTCTCTAGCCTTGTTGCCATCGAATTTTTTTTCATGTAGGCAAGTTGTGCTGGATGGTGTGTTTGTAATCGTAGGAAATGTCCGAACCATTTGATTCTTTGGTGTCAGATGTGATGAATGACATCATTTGTGCCCACCATTTTTCGGATTACTGAGTTTCTAATTTTGTCTCGCCTGGTCTTGTTTACTGCTTTTATAAGGCATCGCATTTCACATTTTGTAATTCTTCGCTCTAATGTCTTGTTCGTGGTCCATGTTTGGCATTGATAAGTGAGTGTTGGGATGAATATGGTGTTGATCATTTTGAGTTTTGTTGTCCTTGGGATGTTAGGATGTTTCAGTAGTGGAGTAAGCTGGTAACTAACAGTATTGGCCTTTTGTACTCGTGTTTCAATTTCTCTGTTTAGTCGCCCATCCTCTGTGAATATACTACCGAGGTACTTAAATTCTTGGACCTGTCTGAGACTGTTGTTGTTGATGTGTATCCTGAGTGATTCTGGCTTTCTCCTTACTTTCATTGTCTCTGTGTTGTTGATGTTGATCTTCATGTCATAGTTATTACATTCTTCATTTAATCTGGTGGTGTGGTGTTGGAGACTTCGTTCATCTTTGTGTGTAAGGCTTTGGTCATCAGCGAAGAGTAATTCATTTAGGGCGTCTGGTTCTGTGTTTGCCTCTTTTGTAATTCTATCCACGTATATGATAAATAGTAGTGGTGATAGGACACAACCTTGTCTTACTCCGGATGTTATCTCGAACCATTCTGTGAGTCCCTCTGACGTTCTTACTGTACTTATGCTGTTATCGTAAATGGCACAGATGTTATCGAGAAATTGGCCTCTTTCGGTGTAGTTTCCACAGCTTGTTTCTGTGAACGCTTTCTCCTGGTCGATAAATACTATATTGAGTTCCCTGCTGTGTTCTATTACCCTTTCGCACATTTGTCGTAGGGCAAATATTGCGTCGGTGCATCCTCTTCCCTTTCTAAATCCCATTTGGACCCCAAATAATATCGATGACATGAAAGATCGAATAACAGCTACAATCAACACGGTGGACGAGGCACCCCGAGGCACATTTGGGGCAAATTTTCAGATCGGTTTGATGTTGTTCGGGCTTCCGGTGCTGGCCACGTTGAACACTTTTAAAGCTTGAAATAGAAATGTAAATGTATGTACAACGTGTGTGCCCAAGCAACAAGAGTTTTATATTGATTTTTCGTTTTTGAAATATCGCATGATGATTTTGGCGTGTTCTTTTTAAATCATCCTGTATTATTTGCTTTTTTTATGAAATGCAGACAGTACTCCATGCCAACAGTGAGATAAGAAAAATTGGAAATGGTTGGATACATTCTAAGATCGTACTCTTTGTGTTCCACCATAATAATTTGTCGTGTCCCAGATCTATGTAGGTAGAAATGAATGTTCCCTGAATTCTATCATCAAAAGTGCCAGTCCAAATGAGATTATTTGGAGGGAACAACTTGAACAACAACAACAACAGCGGTGACAGAAAAAACGACAACAAGTACAAAAGGAATGAACGACATCAACAGCAACTACATGTACAAGTAATGAAATGGCTGAAGGAAACGCTTCACAACAAAATAGTTTTCAGATTCCTTTTTATTCTACAGAAAAATAATTTAGAGATACAGCGTTTTTACAATTATCACTCCACTATGAGCCACCAATGCTAAAAATTGCAATCTTTGCCAAAGAAACCTTTAAAATAATGTTATGGATTTCTTTCTCCGACGATCCTTATTTTTTTTTTTATCGAGCTGTCCTGTCGAAAACTCCTTTGAACACGAGCGGCTGGTTACCTAATCTTTCATATAACATTTAGGGGGGGGGACGTAATTTTTCCACACAAAAAATAAAATAAAGAGTCCATTCATATTGGCCCCATTTGTCAACAGCAAGGGCGTAAATTGAGTATCAGAATGTTCCCTGATCTTTCCATCGGCCATCAATTGGTGACCAAGAAAGACTGGGCTCGCTGGAGTCAAGGAGACCCTGGAATAATATGTACATGTCTAATAGACCATCCCTAAGCATGCCTTCTTCCCGCGACACTTACTGTATTATACACGCCAAGCAAAGGAAGACGGATTTGAAGAAAATCCATTGTCCTATATAATACTACATAGCTTTGATCCATCTTTTCATCTAAAGTTTGTAGCCCACTTTCCACCTCTGAAAATAAACCATTGCAGCCATAAAGAGAAATTAATTCTGTCAGATCGTTAGGTATTCCACTCTTGCTTTGAACAGTCAAGGGTTAATAGGTTATGATACAATGTAATTTACTTGGATTCTTACTCGGTTGTTTGTTGTTGTGTTTGGGTTTGTTTCTTTTTTTTAAAACTGTCTGTTAGTGCTATATAGCGCTGAAACTACGGCCGATGGACTTGAGATATTTGTTATGAAAACAGTTAAATTTTGACGTAATCTTATAAACATTACTAAGACTTATAATCGAGACAAAATCAATCGCCAAAAGTATATTATGTAGTTGGGGTTTTTATTTAATTTATAATTGATAGTTGCCTTCAAACTAACTTCGAACTTCCTCTCATCTCTGATGGGTACAAGGTTGAGACATTAACACCTTCAATACTATTTGGTAAATTCTAATAAGAACACAAACAAATCTTTTCAGATAAGAATGTAGTTTGTTATGCTCAATGTTGTAAGTGAGACAGAAACAGAATTTCAAGTTTTGACTTTTGAAAGTCACCAATTCTGACCATTTTAGTACATGAAGACGTATTGGCCCCAGGACTACAGGCTTTTGTCTTTATAAGAAGTATACAGGGTTTCCACACATCAAAAAAAAAAAATTTCCTGGAGGGGGGGGGTTGTCCTGGAGTTTATTATCGTTTTCTGTGTGACTCTGTAATATCTTTGGTAATGACGGAGAGAAGGGGAAGATAAATGCATCAGCTAAATGAAGCTATACTGGCCAATCGGCTACGTGATCACTAAAAGTCTTCGGCTATGAAGAAAATGTTCGAATGTCGGTGATTTTTAATGGCTTCATTCCATTTATTTTTCGTTTTCATCCAATTCCATGGTGTTTTCCCGACCGGGGGAAGATGTTAATTAAATGCCTGCCTTTACCCCGAGTTCATGGTTAACTGTTATATCGGGGATTGAAGCCTGAACCATACAGTTCGAAGGTTACAAGCGATGTACTGACCAGCCTTACTGATCAAGCGAGCAAATAACAAATGTCTTATAAACTGGGTAAGTTGAAAAAGAATCCGTCATCGATGAGCATTCCGCCTGCCCTGCTTCCAGGACGGCGTGTTGTTGTAGAAATGCGTCGGTCAGTGGTACTGCCACACGCAGACAGACACTGTCGCTCAGAGTCAAAGCGGTTCTTGTTCCCGCCACAGCCGTAGTAGACGAATGGCTGGCAGCTCTCGCTCTTTATGTCGTAGTAGTAGCTGGTGATCTGCATGAAGCACTGGCCGGGCTCCACGGGGAGAGAACACACACCGCTGCCTTGACTTGCGGGTGCCTGCTGGTTCGAAGTTGAGAGAACAGGCGTGTTCCTGTCGGAGACTGATGAGAGAACTGCCAGGTTGCGGTCTAGCGGGGACACGAGTCCATTTAATAGACTCGAGTCGGAGTTGTCGTTGGCGAACAGGAAGGGGTTGTTATTTTCCCCTCCAACAGAGGGCCCACTGCTGGACGTCGATGTGCCCCAACACGCTTGTCTACACTCTGCCTCCGTCATGTAGTTGTTTTCGTTTGGTTGGCAGCCTCCGTACAGGAAAAGCTCGCAGCGGCCGCTTTCCTGGTTGAAAAAATATCGCCGGAAAGCTGCTCGACATGGCCCACTTTTTGCAGGCAGAGAACAAGAGGCGGGTCTGGAGTTTTGCCATTGAGACTGGATTGAGCTCGGGCCGGTGTTACCAGGGAAGCCGAAGTTCGGTGTCCCAGAAGTTTGCAGAAAACCTTTTCCACCTGCCAGGGTGTCCTGACCAAGAGAGGGTTTCTGAGAGGGGCTCACGTTACTTTGACCTTTGATAAAGGCTTCGAAGTAGTCACAAGTTTTCTGACAGTCTTGCAGGGTCTGGAAGTTATTGTTATTCCCAGCACAGCCGCCGTAGTCGAAGGGCTGGCATCGTTTGGTCTGCGTGTTATAGTAAAACCGTGGAATGGCTGCGAAGCATGGACCGGGCTCTGGGTCAAGAATACATCGTCGGGGAGGAAGGGGGGAGGCACCATCCGCAAAACCGGACACCTTTGGCGGAAGAGGGTTACCGCTGGGTTTGGACCCAGTATTTACAGGCGGGTTTCTTAATTCTATGTTTTTCTGATTATCAACATAGTCTTCGTAGTAGTTGCAAAGTCTCTTGCAGTCGTTCAGAGAGGCGAAATTGTTCTGGTTCCCTCCACACCCGCTGTAAGTGAAGATTTCACATTGCTTGCTGTTACCGTTGTAGTAGAAGCGGCGCATGTTGCCTAGGCACAGGCCACGCTCTGGGGCCTGGAAGCAAGTGGCTGGGGGTGGGGGAGGGGCTCCAGCAGCAAATCCTGCAGGAACTTTGCTCGGGGCGCCTTTTGGTGTCTGGCTGGAACGACCAGATGAGGAGCTAAGAGGTTTAGATGAGCTTTGAGACGGTCTATTGTTCATCCAGTTTCCAGATTGGCGAGCTATAAATTCGTCAAAAAAATCGCACGTCCGCTTGCATTCGTCGAAAGTAGCGAAATTGTTATCGTTACCTTGACAACCACCATAGATGAACGCTTCACATTGCTTGCTCGTTGTGTTGTAGAAGAACCTGGTTATGGCTGCTTGGCATGGTCCGATGTCTACATCCAGAATACAAGCACGTGGAGGGGGTGGGGGGCCCCCTGGTGCAATCCCAGAGAAGCTCCCACGACCACCAGGGAAAGAGTTCGAGGTCCAGGTATTAGATGAGCCTCCCCGGCTGCCTGGACGATTCGGGGAGCCTCTCGAGTTCCCTCCCCTTCCTCTGCTGTCTCCACGAGTGTTTGGGGAGAAACTCGACTGCGGTGCGAGGAACAAACTGCTGCCGAGGAGACTGTTTGAGCTATCAGAGAAAAACCCATCGTTAATGCTGTCCAGTAAGCTTCTGTTATTGCCGTTGTTGGTGGTTCTGCCGTTGCGGTCAACTGTGCTCCCCCCATTATTGTTGCCACGAGGAGCTGGCCTCTCTCTGCCTAAAAAGGGATTTCTGTCGGGGCTGCGACCTCTACCTCTACCGCCTGATCCAGCTATTGTTTGGGGAAGAACGCACGACGAGAAACAGTCTTGAAACCTCTCGAAGTTATTCGAGTTCCCGCCGCAACCTCCGTATGTAAAGCTCTCACACTCGCCGGTTTCGGCGTTGTAGAAGTATCGTGGGAAGTACCCCATGCACCGCCCAGGCTCAGATGGTTGCCTGCAAACACGAGGTGCACCGTTTATTCTGCCCATGAGGCCCCCATTCCGATCCCGGAGGTTGACGCCTCTTGTGTTCTGTGAGCGGGGAAAACTTGCAGGACTCTGGGATGGCGATCGCTGCTCGCCAAGCAACGGTCGGGGTGCCCGGCTCAAACGGTTCTTGTTAGAAGTTCTCGTCTGCTGGTCTGAACTGGGCACAGCAATACATTTCGTCAGGTGACCCTCTAAAATACATCGAGGTCGGTCTCTCGGACACACAACACCCTGCAAAAAAATGAAATAATTTTTCGTTTAAATAATTTGAAAAAAAAAGTTGTTTTTTTTAACCCTCCCAAAACTTTTTTTTTAACTGCAAAAATTGTTTTGAAGAAAATGAGATAGCGTTAGAGAGTTTCTTGAAGGTTTACGTTCATATCTGGGTCTATGTGTAAAAGCATGACTAGTTTGAATGAGGTGTGTGTGTGTGTGTGTGTGTGTGTGTGTGTGTGTGTGTGTGTGTGTGTGTGTGTGTGTGTGTGTGTGTGTGTGTATACGTGTGACTTGCAAAAGAGAGAGTATAAATTAGAGAGAGAGAGAGAGAAAGAGGGGGGGGGGTATTTCCATAGAGTCAATAGTCAATTAACATTACATATTTTTTCATTCAGCTTTCCGGAAAAAAATGCATCTACTCCAACCCCCCTTCACCCCTCCCCCTCCACCTCCACCAAAGCACACGCAAACACAGACACACAAAAAACATTCTCTTACGATAAACATTTCAGTTTGAAAGGGCACGAAAAAAATTATACAGTGATGCAGAGAGAAAGCGGCCCTTTATTTTTAATAGCTCTTCATAATTTTGGTTACAGGTACCGGTAACTGTGTAACACACCATACAGTGAACTTCTGATAACCCGATGCCATCTTGCGGCCGGACTGCGAACGCGTGGGAACGAACTGGGGCGAACATGACATAGGATTTAGGAGGTCAAATGTCAAAAAGGTCGTACCTTTCACTTCCCTGTTCATAAAAGTATAATTGTTGCTTTCTTCTCATGCTGTGTTGAATATCCTTGCCCCCCCCACCTCTCTCTCTCTCTCTCTCTCTCTCTCTCTCTCTCTCTCTCTCGCTCTCTCTCGCTCTCTCACCTCTCTCTCTCTCTCTCTCTCTCTCTCTCTCTCTCTCTCTCTCTCTCTCTCTCTCTCTCTCTCTCTCTCTCTCTCTCTCTCTCTCTCTCTCCTTACACAGTTGCGTCCATTCCACATTTAAACAATTAAACTACCGGTCAGCCTATCAGCGGAGGAATTCCCTTCGACCTTGCAATCCCGAGAGTACTTGCATTAGATAAGATGTTTATAATGCGATATTCGAGCTTCGATTTCTCAATAATTGATTAACCTCAAAGATAGTACATAACAAGATGGGCCACTTCTCTCTTTGAGCCAATTAAAAAAGTGTCCTCAAAATTTGGTGGCGCCCTCTTCACAAAAGCGCACTCTTTGCGAACAGAGTTACCCTACTTGAGTTTTAAAAAATCAAAGTGAAACTAGCAAGTTTTGGGATAAATTTCGGAAGGACGCTTTTTAAAATGGTTACGCTGACAAAAAACCTCTTCCGGAGGAAAGGGTGATGGTTTTCTTTGTTTAATTTGACTTTAAAATGAAAGGCGAGAGGTCATTAAAATTTTTTAAACCTAAAACTCCGCACTGAACGTACCCGAACTGCTGATGAACAGCAGTCGATCTGCGCACGCAAGGAAGTGCTATTCCTATTCTTCTTCTGGAAAAACGAAAGAGAGCTTCAAAATAGACTGCAGGCCATCTGAAGCAAAGAGCATACTTCCTGCGGACACTTTTTTGGCTGAGTGGCCCATCTTGTTATTTACTATCTTTGTTAACCTCTTGGCCTGGCCAAAGAGTCTACATAACAAGAGGGGCCACTCCTCTCTTTGAGCCAATTAAACAAAGGTCCTCAAAATTCGGTGGCGCCCTCTTCGCAAAGGCGCACCATTTGCGAACAGAGTTACCCTACTTGAGTTTAAAAAATTAAAATGAAACTAGCAAGTTTTGGATAAATTTCAGAAGAGCGCTTTCTTTTAAATGGTTACGCTGACAAAAAACCTTTTCTGGAGGAAGGGGTGATTGTTGTCTTCGTTTAATTTGACTTTAGAATGAAAGGCGAGAGGTCATTAAAAGAAAAAAAACATAAAACTCCGCACTGAACGAATCCGAACTGCTGATGAACAGCAGTCGATCTGCGCACGCAAGGAGGTGCTATTCCTATTCTTCTTCTGGAAAAACGAAAGAGAGCTTCAAAACAGACTGCATCGCCATCTGAAGCAAAGAGCGGACTTCCGGCGGACACTTTTTTGGCTGAGTGGCCCATCTTGTTATGCACTATCTTTGGCCTGGCTCACTCCGAGTCACCCCACCGGCTACACCACGATTCAGCGCTGTACAGACGGCCAGGCTGTATATATATAAACAAATGAGGTTGGCGCTCATATGACCTTATGCAGTTGCCAGCGCCGTAAAACCCTGTACTTAACTTTTTTTTAAACAAATGATGCTCTTCGTGGCATTTTCCGGCCTTGTCAGGTAACCACATTTAGGTGCTGTTCAGGGGTACCTCATTGATTTTGAAGGGAAAAAATGATTTGATTTGATTTTCTTAGTGTTGCCTTAAACAAAAACAGGCCAAAAATAATTTTAGCCAAAGTCTGAGGTCTGAACTATTCTCTCGGTACACGGAAGATAATCCCAAATCTTGAATTTTTCGGTACTAGGCTTGAGGGAAGTGGAAGCAACAAATCACAACGGGGCATCCTTCAAAGTAGACCTCTGGACAGCAAACACAGAGACAGCCAGATTGACATAAAAATATTATGAGGCTGGAATTGGATTCTATTTTTTTCTTCTTAAAAGCACTGATGCCTTTTCCTTTACTCAAGAAAAGTTTATTCTGGGTAGCACTGAACAGAGGATCATAATATTTTTTTTCCTTGCTTCACACAGATTAATCATTGTCAGCGAGCAGCGCTGAATCGTGGTCAGTTCACGGAGTCAAGCGTGACTAGCACCGAACCATGATGCCCCCCCCCCCCCCCCCCCCCAGGTCAAACGTTGTGCTGTTTAAGTAACAACCAAACAAACAAAAGGGGTTTTTTTATCAACGTTCGTGAAATTTTTATTGCATTGTATATTTTTAGTGAACACATTTCCAACCTCACCGCGAGACTGTTTTTCTCATATAAATTTTTACACATATACATTTATATTATATCATGTATAACACTTTGTTTTACGTACACGCATGTCGATTAATTTTTAAGATGTGATGTCTTTTTCGTTGTAATGCGCATTGAGCATTTTTTTCGAAAATGGAAATGCGCAGTATAAATGCTATTTATTATTATTATTATTATTATTATTATTATTATTATTATTATTAGTAGTAGTAGTAGTAGTAGTAGTAGTATTATACATTTACTAACGGGGAAAAGATTACTAGTCTCATTCTACTACGATGAAGCCTTCAAGGCGAAACGTTAAGCTGTCTTAGTAACCCAAATTTGTTATTTCTCTATTCAGTTTGCTGACCAACAAACTTAAGACTCTCCTTCCCTATTCTGTTAACTTCCACGATGATGGCGTACTGTTTCCAAAAATAAATACAATAAGAATAAGTAATTCTATTGTCTCCCCGAAAAGCAAGGTCAGGGCGCTTTCCATCCAATCAAGTGGACTGTATCAAAGACACAACAATAATTTTATTACTCCTTGCCCTGAACCAGGCGAATCTCATCCGGCATTACTGTGATGACGCGTCATCAAACAGTCAGATTTGACACTTTCCCGGTGGCCACAGTTTGTCAAAGATCATAACGGCCCCTGTGGGGATCTCACTGTCAGTTGAGATTATCCCTATGGGCGCCAGTTTTCCTTGCCTAGCCTCCTCCACCCCAATAGTAGACTGCTGGTTTGGCACTAAACTATGAAAACTACCACGTAATTCACTTCTTTATGCTTGACATTACGTCCAACTTGACCTGTATTTGAGATCTCAACAGTAATAATTTTGACAGTGTAAAATTTATTTGCGGTGTCCATAATTTTCAAGGGATGGGCGTTGATGGATGACGTTGGGGTCAGTCCCTTAAATCTGATGCACATCAGGTGGAGGTTTGTTTTCATAGAGGCAAAAGCTAAGGTTTGATGAATACTTTTATTTGCATACATTAACAATTATATCTGACATGGAAAATAGAGGCAATCAATCATACACACTTCTCCACTTTGAATCTCTCTCTCTCTCTCTCTCTCTCTCTCTCTCTCTCTCTCTCTCTCTCTCTCTCTCTCACTCTCACTCTCTCTCTCATACACTCTTTCTCTCTTTGTGTCAATCGCACACCCCCACAAACACAAACACAAAAACACAAACATGAACACACAAACACATAATATATAAATATCCCAATCGTAATTTTAGAGGACTTGTTTTTATTATTACATGTACTTGTCAGAAGAAGGAATGAACTATCTTGTGCTTGTAATGTACGGTACAAACATTCTGATTTTTTAAAGATAGAAGCTATTCGATTTGGCGTTTTCGCAAAAGATTTTACTTTATAACATAGATACCTCCTCAAAATCCGAATATTTATAATAAAATTAAGTTTTCATTTATAAATTATATTTACAGTACTATACTGTCTAAGTACAGTTTAGTTTCACAGCATAGTACGAGTTGTACCGGATGAAGTATTTAAAAACCCAAACAATTTACATGCGGACTATTTTTTCCTTGCTCGGGCATAAATCCAGTTCTTCGAACGTCAAACATTTTGTCTACGAAAAGGCAAAGAAGCTGGCTGGACAATATACAGTGGAAACGTAATATTATTTACTTTTCATGAAGTGAACACCCCTCCCCCC